ACTTGTTCACTTTTGGTCACATTAGTACATACGCAAGTGCACAAACACACACCTTTGTATCATATACATACTCCCATAAACACACTTTGGTGCACACAAAACTGGTCATTTATTACTCAGAGTGTTCTAGTTGGACATGGCTCTTTACAGACACTTAGGTAGCTTGTGATCCTTGTTCTGAAATACAATTGTGGGGGCAGATGTGAACAAAGGAAGAGGCACATAAAATGGAGCAGGTACGAGCCAAATGGGTTTTAAGGAGCTACTGGAAGAATGAGAAGATGGAGCTCTGGGTCAGAGAAGAGTGGAAGTAAAGATTCAGGAGAGGAGGGCTTAGGGTGTATGCAGTAGGTGAAGACAAGGACTGGTGAGAAGGCAGGGGGGAGCTTTAAACCTGATGCAATAAAGCCTTCCTCTCCATTGCCTTGCATTGTGTGTGATTGTTTTCACCTGTGCAAAGTGGGCATAGAATATGCAGTTAGCCTGGTAGTGTTCCCACTCGGGTGAAGGGTGGAACTGTATATGGGGTGAGGTAGTGGAGAATCAAGGCAGTAAATATGAGGCTGAAGAGGAGAGGACATTAGTGAAGGAGGCAAAGAGAAGCAGCTGATTTTAGCTGTGGCATTTTGGGTAGACTGGAGATCAGAGAGGCAATGAGGCCATGCACCAACCATCTCCACCCATGTTTCTGTTCAGAGAGCAGCATAAGAGAGCACAGTGCTTCACAAATTCCTGGGTGAACAAGGTTCCTATGCTTATTTACTCTAGGCCCAGATACATTAAAGGTACATAGGTGTCTAAACCCCATACTTAGGCACCTCAATCAGAGTTGTGGCTCCTCGTCAATCTGCAAAACTCCTGCTGAACCCTGTAAGTATTTGAACTCAGCACTTAAATTTTCAGGCAAAAGTTCCCCGGGTACCTATGTTCCTGCCCTGGGCATGCACACTGCTGCCTGCTGCTTGATAGCTGGATGCTTCTCTCCTGCATAAGCCGCAGAACAATTCACAAGCTGGAGGAAGATAGACATTCTGCCATGTGCATGCAGGGTCTGATGTGGTAGGAGTACTCAGAGGCCACCTACCAGATCAGTCCCATTCAAACTCCACCCTGCGGAGGTGCTGGTACGCAGCACTTTGATCTAGCCATTACAATAAGAGTCATACTCATCTGGGATGTGGGAGACCCAGGTTAAATTCCCACCTCTCAGAAGAGTGCTCTAACAGCCGAGCAAATGGGATATTTTGATGTGAGGTTCTCTCCTGTTGAAGCTGTTCCACTGTGAATCAATAGTGAAAGCGTGTGATTGGAGCAAGGGGACTGGAGTCTCCCGCATGGGTGCTCTAACCACTGGACTACAGAGTCATTCTCCCTTTGTCTCTGGCTCAGTGACTCTTCCACTGTGGTGAAATATTTAAATAGTCATTGATCCAGAGAGAGACTGTGAGAATGACTCTATACCCAGCGGTTAGGGCACCCTCTGAGGAGGTGGGAGACCCTGGGTCCGGTCCCCCCATTCCAAACGTTTTCACTGCTCCGAGTTGCAATACCTAAGTCCCATTGTGGATCCCACTCTTAATGCCTCATTTTCCAGAGGTACTGAACACCTGCAGCATCCATTGAGCTCAGCTGGAGCTACAGGCACTCAGCACTCCTGAAAATCGCCCTAGTCTAAATTGTATGTTTGTGCCAAACAAGATAATGGTGCAGGTGAAGGAACAACTAGTAGGTGCACTGGAAAGGCTTACAAAAGCAGTGATTTCTAGAGAGGGGTTGGAAGAGGAGAGCTTGTGCTGCTCTCTGCTTGAACATGCTAGGAGTTTGGGAATAACGAGGTTTATCCTTATCTCACAGTCCCTGCATGGCAGCACAATGTATCTTGGCATCACATTTGGGAATCTTGTTTTCTCTTTTTAAAGAAACAGTCAAGATGTTCAAGGCCTAAGTTTGGCTTTCACTTAGCCATGAGCCACCAGTCCATTGGTGAGTCTTCTAAAAAGTTAGACGTTGTAGGGTGTGTCTATATGGGGAAATAATCCAGAATAGCTATTGGGAAATAGCTATTCCTTACTAGGTCCCCATGTAGCCACTCTTATTCTGCACTGAGTGCCTTTGAAGGGGTTTGCTTAATTCACTTCAGAGTTTGAAGATAAATCATATAATCTCTCTACAGTGCCCCTTTAAATAAATGGGTAGTAATAATAATGCAAGTTTATAGTATTTAGCATGTCTGCACCACTTTTCATTTCCAGCATTTTACATGAAACCCCCTCAAACAGTATTATCCCCCTTTTTGAACTGATTGGGCCCTGGAGATGGCATAAGGTTAGGCAACTAGGCCATGATCACCCAGTAACTTGGTTATGAGTTTAGTAGCGTGAATCTGACATTCTTTATACTGTTTTGTGAGGCTGGGAGCATGAGAGTGGATATCCAACGTTTTAATATATAACGGTCCAGCACAGACTAAGCGCTAAGTGAGACCTAGCCATGTAAGCAAAGTATATAGAGCATCAATTACTGTTGCTGCTGCCTAGGGGCAGAGCTAGAAGGACTGATTAGTTCACTTCAGGAATGGGAAGCTCAGCTTAGTATTTGACCACTGCATTGAAATAAGAATGAGTTGCCAGGGAAACAAGAGCTGAACCTACCACTCTGAGCAATCTGCAGTGACTGCATGAAATCACGCCATGCCACTCAGAAAAATGAACAGTAGCATGTTCTATGGGGCTGTGTGCAGTGTTAAGTTTGCACTGCATTTCCACAGAGCTGTCTTCTGCTGTTCCAGCCTGTCAGAGCCAGTTTCCTGCTCCTCTCACCCCAAGGATCTGACACAGCCTTTCCCTCGTTACCATAAAATCCTGTATCCCTCCTCCTTGCACCTTCCCTGATTTATTTACTTGATGGGATTCACTGTGCTGCCAACTTTGCTTTGTGTTTCTCTTTCTTATATTCATGAGTCGTATTGCAGATGTCATATCCTCATGCAGCAGGAGGCAGGAGATGGAATTAGATTCAGAGCAGAGAGAGACTGTCAATAGTCTGTGCTTGTCAGGGAACTGTTTTAATTTTGCAGTTAGTTTTCTGCTCATTAGTGTGGCTATTATTTTATTTGATATTTGTATGGCCTCCTGTGATAGGCTTCTAACCATCCTACAGCAAAACCTCTCATGAAATCAAAGGCTGATAGTATCAGCTCAGGTAGGTGTTGTGCAAGCTTATACTGTATAGGAATTGCTAGACTGGCTCAGACCTAAGGTCCACATAGTTCAGTATCCTGATTCTAATGGCAGCTAGTACCAGATATTGCAGAGGGAGGTGTAAGAAACCCCACAATAGGCAGATTTATCTGCCCCACAGGGAAGTCTCAGCCTAACATCTAATATTGTCTTCAGCCCTGAAGCGTGAGGTTTTATATTGCTTCCAGAACTCTTTTGTTAGCATCATTATAACTGGACGTTCTTGTTATCCATCTAAGCGTCCACTTCCTTTTTGAATTTTGCTAAATTCTTAGTCTCAATGTCACAGTCTAATTACATGCAGGTGGAAAAAAATATTTCCTTTTATAAGTTTTGAATTTTCAGCCTTTTCAATTTCACTGGTTGTCCCCTTGTTCTTGTGTTGAGACTTTTTCCCACCTGTGCCAATGCATTTCTGTCTTGACCGGCAATGCCCTGCTTCTGCTATTCCTGCTTGGACCTCTCCTGAGCAGAAGCTGCCAATTGTGTTGTGGTTTTATGAAGGGTAGAAATGAAGAGTGGGATGCAAAATCAAAACTGGATTTTTTTTTCCACTGGTGCCCAAAAGTAGGATTTTCGCCTGGGTCTCCAGTGCTAAAATGCTAATGCACAAAGTACCTAATTCTCCACCATATAGGTCAATGGGACTTGTGCCATTGATTTAAATGGGAGTGGGAGCAGGCCCTAAATCAGTGAATTTGAATTTTACTACCCAGTGGCAACAGCTCTGATGGCAAATGCACAAGTCTGATCCCAAATCACCATCCATCTGCTCAAGACAAATGCCTCAGTGCCAGGGACTGCCAGCCCAGATGACAATATTTGTTTTTTTGTGTTGTGTTTTCAGTAGCTTTAGGAAACTAGCCAGAAAAGTTCCAGTAAATCAGCTGCGAAGTCAGTAACAGGGACTGGGAAATAGGACCTGAGTCTCAGCTGTTACTGAGATGAGCTATGTCTAGCTTCTCTGGCTTTCTCTTGGCTGGTTTGGTGCGAGGCTGTCTAGCAGCACCAGAGGGCTTGGGTTCATGTCAGCTGGATAGGCACAGTAGAATCTGACAGGCTGTCAGTGCTCCAGGGACAGAGAAGCTGTTACTAGCTGACTTTCCTATCTTGCTGCTGGTTTTCTATTTTCTAGGGAGCATATTTACTAGTCTGTATGCAGCTGCAAGCTGGCAGGACATGGCCACACTCTCACTAGCACATCATGCACCGATTACCACAAGCCTGGCTGCTTTCATGTGGCATCATGCAGGTGCTGGCAGTACGACACCACACTATATTAGTGTGGCTAATTATACTGTAGTTTTTAGGAGAGTTCTCCCTATGGTTGCAAAACCACAGTATATTTTGGTAGCTAAAGATCCTTTTGGCATTAGAATAGCCTGAGAAAGCAGAACTGTTCCTCCCGGGTGGGCGCAGCCATGCTTTTTGAGTGTGAGATTTCTGAAAAAAAGGAAGTGTGGAGAGGTGGGATTTCTTGTCTTTATTTCATGCTGGCTGATGATTGCTCCCATAGGTAGGGTTGCATCTTGCTAAGCCAGATGCATTTGTTTAGCTGCACTTCAAAGGGAATTTCCCCAAATAAGCTTCAATGTGTCTGTGTAAAAACACCCTAACTTGCCCTTCCAACACTTACTGGGAGCAAGGCTGGGAGAGGAACAAGCTCTTCCACTCAGAGGTGGCAACGCCTTGACTACACATGGCTGCAGAGAGGGAAAAGAAGAGGTACTCACTTATTTAAAGACATTTATTAACTTACAGGAATATGCCCCATACTCAACATGGAGTGAGGCCTGATTGCTCAAAATGGGAGGCATTTGCATTACTTGGGCACAGAAGAATTGCTCTACCAGATCAGACCAGTAGTCCATCTCGCCAAATGTCCAATTTTTGACAATGGCCAGCACCCCATGCTTCAGAGGAAGGTGGAATTCCCCATAGTGGACTAACCCGCTGTCACATTCTGGAGTGCAATCCAAACCAGTGAAGAGTTGTCACCTCTTCCCCGGAACTCTGAAATGCCTTAAAAGCTTTGCTACAGTAGCTCTCTACCTGGGATGCTCACAGTTAGCACCACGCATGCACTCTGTCTATATATTGAGCAGCCCTGGACCAACGCTTTGAATGTTGAAGCCTGCCTGCAATACCACTCATCTCCACCAGCCTTGGCTAACAACTGGTAAGGTGACTCCAAACTCTCCACAGCCCTGAATTTCCCCCAAAATGTGAGTTCTGAAATGTCCAGCCCTATCCTGGAACAATCAGAAGAACGTTAAGGTTCGTTGCTCCTTTAAAGAGACAAAAGTGCATTGCAGCTTATTAAGTGAGGTAAATACACCCTTCCCTTCAAACACAACTCTGTTTGTTTATAGTAAAAATAAAACAAATTTATAACAATAGGACATACCTTAAGTGATGCCAAGTAAAAGGAATGTAAGCAGAGATGGTTACATGCAAATAGAAGTGAAAACACACATCTAAAAGTCTAAAACTTAACCTAGCAAGGTACAGGCTTTGTTCAAGATGGTTTCTATCACCAATCATTCTTCCCATCCATGGCTGATTTTTCCTTCAGTCAGAACCTTCCACAGAAGTACAAGGGCTTCCCTTGTCTTCCAAAAGATCTTTCCTTGCCTAAGCAGGTTTCTGTCTTATATTCAGTTCCCAGAGACTTCAATCCACCCGCTCCCCTATTTAAGAAACCATCTTTCTCAGCTTGCAAGAGCTCTGGCCCTTGTGTCTCTCTAGTGATGAATGCCCAACATAATTCCAGCATATATCCATAACTCTTTAATAAACATCATATACATATCATGCAAGAATATTAATGATCAGTGAGTTATTAGTTTCCAGTGATATATTACACGCCACCTATTAGATACAGATTGTGATATCAGTGAATTGGGGTACACTGAACTGGTCAGGCCAGCTGAAACGCATTACCTGATTACCAGTGAGCCCCTTGCTCTGTGGCACTGGGATGATCTTAGGGTCACACCTGTCCAAAGGAGAAATAACAAAGTACAAGTAAACCTTGTAGGTTAGTGAATGCTTTTGATTGGCTGAGCCTCTCTCGGCTTCTATTTGACACTCTTAAAACCATTGCAAAGGGTTCTCCATTGCTCTTGGAACCGCATTACAGTAACTCCTCACTTAACGTTGTCCCGGTTAACGTTGGTTCGTTGTTACGTTGCTGATCTAGTAGAGAACATACTCATTTAAAGTTGCACAATGTTTGCTTATAACATTGTTTGGCTGTAGGGGCTTGGAACCGGGGTGGGCTGGCAGCCCTCCCATCAGCTCCCCTCCATCCCCCCCAGCACCTCCTGCCCACCGGTGGCCTCGCAGATCAGCAACTCCCCCCTCCCTCCCCACACCAATCAGCTGTTGCATGGCATTCAGGAGGCTGGGGGGGGGGGGGAAGGAGGGGAGGAGCAAGGATGTGATATGCTCGTGGGGAGGGGTTAGAACAGGGGTGGGAAGAGGTGGGGTGTGGGTGTGGGTGGGGGCAGGCCTGGGGCAGAGCCAGCGGTGGAGCACCCCCTGGCACCTTGGAAAGAGGACCAGCCGGATGATCCACCCTCTGACTCCACCACCTCAACCAAGTTTTACAATCATCATTGCTGAGTACAGTATTAAATTGTTTAAAATTGTTTAAAACTTATACTGTATATGTATATAATGTCTTTTGTCTGGTGAAAAAAATGTCCCTGGAACCTAACTCCCCCTCCCCATTTACATTAATTCTTATGGGGAAAGTGGCTTCGCTTAACATCGTTTTGCTTAAAGTAGCATTTTTTAAGAATTAAAATTAAGCGAGGCGTTACTGTACCAACATTTTAGAAATTCTGCTCTTAAAAGATTGTGACAATTCTGTCCAGTGTAGATTCTTACATACCATCTCCATTGTATCTGAGCACTTTCTAGGGGTGCATTAAGCAGTGCTGCCCTGCACTAAACTTAGTATCCCCCTCTTTCCCCTGTAACCTTATGTGAATCAAAGACGAGGGTACGCTCGCTGCAAAAGGACTAAAGAAGTAGCATTCTAGTGGTACAACCGAGTAGGGTTAAGGGAGCGAGAGTTCCTTTTGGTCCAGAATGCAGAACTAAGCCTAGCCAAAAACTGGTAGACCTCCCCTTCTCAGGTAAGACTAGGTGTTAACTAGCATCAGCCTATGGATGAAGGCCAGACTGAGTCCAGCTGAATTAAAACTATTGTGCCCTAAAATTGCTTTCTTTTGGGCTGGTCCTTTCAGAACAGGGGACTCAGTTCAGGTGCTCTAGTTGGCTTGATTATGGCTTAATCTACAGCTATCTACCAGTGCTCTTGGAATACCTGTGACAGTAAATCCCGGGGTGGCTGGGCTTTCTGGTGTGGCTTATAATTGCTGCTTTGCTAGCGCCTTCCTCCTCATGCTTGCCTTTACTCTGTCAGGGCCAATCCATGAAGCATCGCCTTTCTCGTCGCTCTTACCCATGTTGGAGTAAGTTGTATTCTCACTTACACCCATGCAGAAAGCAGGGGGCAGCAGGGGTTTAACTGAGCTCAGAATTTGACACACTGTGTTGTTCCCAGGTACACAGCATTTGAGCTCTTTGCACTGTTTTGATAAGGCTAGCACATAGCTTTCTACAGGGTAGGTCATGACCAGACCAAAAATTAGCCAACCAGGACCCTTTCCAGGGAATCAGCACTGTTCAGTATTGTACAAAAGTCTTTGAGCTGTGACCTGAACACAGCAGCAGCTCCAGGATACCAAAGCAGGTGACTGGACAACAGTTCCCACCTGCTGGGCTTGATAGTGTTACGCTTTTTTATGTCTATTGATACTCCATTAGCAAGAATTGTTAGAGACACACTAGTCCACAACGTCAGCTGAATCATTTGCATGTGCCGCAGAGCTGACAGCTGTGCATGGTACTCAGCCCAGGCCACAATGTACGGGAACCATCAGCAGCCTCTTTGGAGAAACTGAAGCAACTGTAACGAGAAAGGGTGTCACAGAAGTAGGAGTGGGCATTAGCTCCCTACTTTAGTCATTCAACCTGACTGATGGTGATGCAGAGCAGGAGGATGGGCTGCTCAGCCTAATAATTGCCTTACGCTTGCAGAAGGACAGGCTCATGGGTAAAGCATAGGCTTCAGAACCATGACAGCTGGGTTTTAGTCCCAGCTCTGCGCCAGTTAAACTGCTGTGGCCTATGCCAAGTCACTTAACCTTTCTGTGCTTCTATTCCTTCCCCCCCAACCTCCCATGAAATAGGAACACTGATACTTTTCCCACTCAACAGTGCTGTGAAACTGCATTCATTATAGTTTGTAAAACATTTTGCACTGCCATGCCTGGAAAGTTAGCTGAGGCTCTGGCCAGTGCAATGGTGATTTCTGCACACAGATGTCATTGATTACGCTTCACTTCACAGCACAAAACCCTGGAAACCTCAGCTCAGGTCCAGTAAGGGACGATTTGGTTTCTACAGTGCCTTTAATATTGCAGGTATCCCACAGGGCAGGGATAATAACTATACCTAAACCGACTAGCCTTAATGTGCTCAGCAGAAGCTCACCCATAGCTGTGGATTGTCTCCACACATACATGCCCCAGACCTGCTTATTTAAAATGGAAGCGTGAGTGTTGTGGGGGAGCCTGCAATGGGATCTATATCAGCTCCCTGGGCAGCCATCAGGGCCTGCTGTTTAACATCTCAGCTGAAGAACGGCACTGCAGCGGTGCTGGGCTCGCTACACTCAGCCGGGACTTGCTGTAAGTAGGCTGTGCTGGGTACAGGGTGAGGCAATAGACGAAGGGGACGGTCTATATGCCAAATAGGGTAGGGGGTTGCTTTTTTTGTTTTACTTTCCTCTCTTTTGACCCCAGCCTCTAACATGGTGTATGTTAAACCAACATTCAGGATGTAACTTACTAACATGTAATGAGCGGGAGTGTAAGTGAATGTAAATCTTAGTAAGTGACGGGCATGCTGCAGTTTACATTTTCTTATATTCACCTTTGAATGTGGGTCACAATGTGCAGTCTTGGCGGCAAGTGTGCTGCCTGCTGAGCCATGCTCCCATCACACACGAGTTTAAGACCATGTAATTCCAAGGTATCACCAAGTAAATAAAGCACTTACATGATAATGCTCCATCTCACAACTTTCAACAAATGGTCTCTTCCTGTCGTCTTTTCCAAAGATAATGTGCCAATGTATGGCTGCTGTGACCCTGTCTAGTAACATCTGTCCTGACAGATAATGGAGCCTGATGTGTATTGATGTCTCCAGGGATGAGGCTGCAGAGAGCTTGAGCAAGGGGTCCCAGAAGCCCCTGCACATCACAGAGTTATGCTCTGGGGAGGACTCCATCCACTGTAGCATGTATGAGCCTTGTGTGGTCATTGGATCCAGAACTATGAATGTCCACTGCCTGTTGGGGTAGGTTGCTGCCCAGCAGGAGGCCAAGTCTTTTCTCTGCTGCACCCTGGAGCTGTGCCGTTTGAAAAGTTTATTTGACTTGGCTTTGTACAGGGAGAGATTTGGGCTGTAAGCATAAGGGGACTTTATACAATAGTTTGCATTGCCTCTTGTAAAGTTTTTTTTAGGGGTGTCTAGATCTAGTTTAGCATGGCCACCTGGCTGTGTTAATGTTTTAACGTACACAGATGTCCCCTGTTTGGCACAGGTTAAGGAGTGTAAATGAAGCCAGTATTAATTCCAGAACACACTGTCTCAGCAGTCAAGGTGCTGCTCACTAAAGCAGATGCCTTTCTGTCTCCCTTTTAGAAGTATATGGTATATGGACATAGACCCTTTAGGAGCACGCAGCTTTCGGAAGACGTTTACCCCGTCTCCTGCCTGTGTGAGCCACATGGTTCACAGCTAAAGTGGGAAAGAGTGAACAATCCCCATGATTGCAAAACAGTTTCAACATGGCACAAGAGTCAAGTCTTTGACAATGTATTACACTGACAAGGTGATGCGCTAGATTTCTGTTGAGCACTGAAGGCTGAACTTGCAACTGAACTGGATAAATGGCTGTTAAGCCTTAATGCAATCAGTGGGTGAACAGGGACAAGACATTTCCTTCACTTTAGACCTGCTCATGGAAACTGGCTATGAGGAATGGTATGTCACTCAGTTGCCAGATAGTGTGATTTGGGTCGGGGGGTTGGAGAGAGGGACGCATCAACCTGTAGCAGAGCTACTCTTTGAAAAATGGGCCAGTTTTTCCACCTGTTGACAGCACAGCCATGAAACTGGAATGCAGAATATCAGAGGCAAGTTTCAGACATGCCAGCGCAGGTGTTTTATAGTAGCTCAGTAAACTAGCCTGTCCTTGTCAGTGTCTGGAAACAAGCCTAGAATGCATATGGACGTTCAGAACATACAGGAAAGGAGAAAAAATCATCTCTATGGCTCCTTGGATCAACACCACCCACTGAGTGGGACATGAAGCTTCACGGCAAGAAGCTAGACCCTGTGGGGTTCTCTAACTCTCCGTCTATGGCATGTTCTTCAGGGTCTTCCCTTGGAGGTGGTAGGAAAGCATCACAGAGGGCAGGGTAGGTGAAGGGTTGGGATAGCTTCTGCAAATTGGGGTAAGATGCTGATGAGAAAGAGCCCTAATGTAGCCATTTTTTAACCTGAAGGGTCCTTCCCCTTCTTTTTTGCAGCTTTACAGGATTGTCCCTAATTTTGTAGCATCTGCTTTCAGGACTTTGCACTCTGGCCAACACCTTTCTGGCTGAGAGGCATTGTCCCAACTCTTGCAAGAGCTGTTTGGCACCAGTCTGGCCAGGTGTAACTTAAGACACTTCCCTCCCTTCCCCTGGAGCTCAGCATGCTACCTCTGCAGCAGATGGATAACTTGAGTCTCCCCTGCTGGGTGTCAGCTGCCATTTGGAATTCACACTCCAGCCCGAGTCTTTTACAACAGAGAAGATGACAGCACTGGGGAGGGGGGAAAGAGTGTTTATAAATTTTTATTTATTTTTTTAAAAATAACGTATTTCATTTCTTGGTGTGTGTACTTGTTTCCTTAGGTTAAGTATTAGGCAGAGACAGACAATGTGAAACAGCTTTCCCTGGCGGCCTTGTGAAGCAGGACAGGAGTGTAACAGCTGGGAAAAGGGGGCCCTAAGAATTGAAATGCTTGGCGCGCTAGTGCCCATCAAATGCACACATACATTCTAACACTTGGTTTGGATTAACATCTAAAATTACTGAGAGATACAATTTCAGCACTTAAATATACAAACTGAAATCCAAACACTTGCACACGATTCTTAACTCTAAGTTCAAAGTTATTGCACAAAAGACATTTTAATATATTTCAGGCTACACGCTGTTGCTCCTCTCTGAACTTTGTTAGTCAGTTTCTTTCATTAAGCATATAATTAAAAAACAAAATAAACATGTTTTGAACACCTTCAAAATACTTATCTATTAGTGGTTTTAATATACATAGCTCTCACTCGCCAGGGAGCTAATCGCCAGTTTGGAGGAGACGAGAGAAAGAGATGGCTAAAAGGTTTAAAGCCATGGCACTACATTTTGTAGAGACAGGGCAGTTCCATAGTGAAGGAGAAGTGTATGGGAAAGATCCACAGGAAGCTTGAATGCAAAAACACCGAGAATGATCAGCCACACTTGAAAAGCCAACAGCTGAGCCAGTGCCCTCTACGTGCCTTAGGATTCCACCTGTCCACTTTGCATCGGCCCAGATCCCACCTCTCATTCTATTCACCTTGACCAGAAGGCTAAGACTCCTTTCCATGTCCAGCTACCCCATTCCTACTTTTCCGGGGGGAGAGGATGTGTGCTGCTGTGCAACGCAAGGCCCTTCCTCTTCTGCTCAGAGTCTGAGCCTGGTTTTTCCAATGCCCTCCTAGCTCCTGCCATCTCTGGGGCTGAGAACCAGGACCAGGAATGGAAGCTAGGTCTTCTGCACAGCAGTGGAGAGCACTAGCCACAGGGTCAGACAGCCAGTCATGGACATTGCAATGGCTTAGTTCAGTCTTAAGGAAAAAAAACATTAACAAAACAAGTGTAGCTAGACATTTCCTCTCCTAACTCCCCTCCTGCCAGTGACACATTGTGCTAGCACAACTGCTTACTATGTGGGCAAGGCGTGATGGTCAAGCTGCTTGCTAAATGATATAGCAGCTGATTCCTATGGGAATGGTGGTGGTGTCAATTAAACAAGAATCCCAACACACAGGTTGTTGTATTTACAACCAGGAAAAATTACAGTAGGGAGGGTATTCCTGTTGTTAAAATACCTTGTGTACACGTTAGCAGGTAGGTAGAGCTCAGGAAAGCAAAGGGCTGCAAATGATTTGTGTGTTTGTTCCTTTGTTTATATTTTGGCCTCTGCAGCTAAAGGAGGAGCTGACCTCTGCAGCAATATAGGCCTTGTTAGCAGAGGCAAACACCTCCAGTGGAGCTTTTCACTGCTGAACTGAATCCTAGCACAACCACTGCAGCCTTGAGCCTGATTGAGACTGAAGGATGCTAATGCCTTAATAACTAGTCCAAAACTCAGAGGCAAGCCCCACCGTCTTGGGGGAAGGAGGGGCTCTACATGGCTAGAGCGCTTCGGGATTAGAAAATTGCTTCTTTGATTCAAAAACATATTTACAGGTTATTAAACATGTACAACTGGAAGCAAATCCAGTACCAGAGACAAGCAGGCATGAAGCAAACAAGAGAGACTGGAACAGCCCCAAAAGGCAATGACAACAGGAGGGATGTAAAAGTGAGCTTTTAGAAATGAAAGGTCAAGTGTGTGTTATGGCTTATGAGGGGATACTGATGGGGAAAAAAATCCAATACAAAACACAAACTCTAAGAAAAACAGAACATTTCAAGTAGCACACTGGCTGAGAAGGTCATCCCCTTCGGGAGTGGGGCATTCAACAACAGTGTCCCCTTATCGGTCATGGTCAATTATTCTTTCCTCAGAAGATCAGGAGAAATAGCTGAATAAAGGGGGATAAGCTGTCTCTGTGTATTTATTAGAGAGAGATTGGGCGGAAAGGAATGTAAAGCGTTCCACACAGCAAGGTGCATTTATTATCACAGCTAGCTACATAACAGTGTTCTCTAATATGGTATCATTGCAAGCATGTTACTTGGGTTTACTGGGATTTTAGATTTTTTAATATTTTTTTTAGGAATATGCAGTAGCAGACTGAGCTTCTGGTTCAGCCTTTTAGACTTAATGTCACATAAGATCTGGAATGCCCAACGTAAGCCAAGCTGGCTACCGCTGTTTTACCACACACTCACACCCACTCTCTCTCTCTCTGCACTGGGGCACGTTGACACTGCACACACATGCACAGGCTTTCAAGGCACACACCCATATGCCCACAGGGCCACACATACAATATCAGCATCTGATTGCTGGGGGCCATTCCATCAAACTGAAATTAACATAGCTTGGGTTGAATCCAGCTTCCAGTTAAGTCACTGGCAACACTTACATTGACGTCATGGGAATAAGATTAAGCCCCTTATTTGTGTGTGTGCTCACTGTAAGTCTCTCCATCAAAAAAAGCGAACCAACCTTCTTAAGCCAACAGCAGACACTCAGTTTGCGATCATGGAGGCTGCACTGAAAATAGGAGTGGGTGGCTTGTCCGTGAGTGGGGAGATGGCTTTTCTTTCACTGAAGGAATGTCATTTTCAGGTCTGTCTTCATCTTCAGTTGCACTGTGTCCCCATGCTTCTCACCAAGTTGCTTCCTATGCCCCACTAACCTACTCTTCCTGCCTTTAAATACGTGTTCTTGGGGAACTGGTTCTTCTGTATTAAAACCTAAAGCATTGGCTTTTCCAGCTCATCAGAGCTTCTCAATCGTCCAATGACTAAGAGAACATTCAAAAGTGACCAAAAATACCTCAGCCCAACCCCCTGATGGGCACACAAACTGAATAGAAAGAAACTAGGTGCTTTCCAGAGAGAGCAATGACAAAAAACTCTGGTACGTGCATTGTTCACATTCACTAAGTGCCTTGTCTCCTGGAGGGGAAGGAAAGTGCTCTATATCTTACAAAGAAACTGACCTTTCAGACTTTGTTTCCCCTTTTCTGGCAGGGTGAAGGTGGCAGAATACTCCCACGAACAGGGAAAGATGCAAACTGGAGCTATGTTGCCACTAGTCCCTCATCTCATCTTCTGCTACATGGAGGCTTTCTGGGACTGATAATGGAAATTGTGGCTGGAATTACACAATGGTTTCAAGAAGCTGAATGGGCAGCCTCATAGCCAGTTCTACTGGTCTGAGCAGCTCCCAGCTTTGCAAAGAGTAGAACACTGGAAGGAGTTTTCTGAAGCCCACAACACATCTCGCTTACACACACACAAAATTCTAATCAATGCTTTGGACAAGACAAAGCTGCAGTCTATGTGATCACCCATTGTCACTGAACCCTGCTCTTCCCCTCCCCCCCAATAACTAATAAATGGACCTGACACCACCAATACATTTCACCTGGCCCCATTAATGGGTATCATATAGCAACGGCTTTTGGGCACTACCAATCTGAGTCAGGTTCCAGCCAAGCTTTCAGGTTTTCATAGGACAGCATGTGCTTATCTGATCCTGTTAGTTCATGGTTTGTCCTGCCTGTACCAGCTGCAAGGTACACTTTCTCCAAGACCATTGACTGCTAGAAGCTGCCACTGGACATCAGGGGATGGATGGGAAGGAAGCGGGTACAGAACAGGTTTTCTGCTCTTATTGTAATGAGTCTGTCAATGCAGTTTGTTTTTTCATCATGCAAGGTCAAAAAGGTTATTAAAATCATTGATCAAAACTTTGCTCCATAATTAAAATGGTCTGCAAGTCTAAGCGTCTGATCCCCTTTTGGTGCCACTAGAAGATGCAGAATTAATTCATGACCAATCTGTTTGGCAAAAAGCTTCCATACCCCTTTTGGTTTTAAGGTAGCTGAGCAAGCCACAGGTGCCTAAACACTCATTGAACTACCACTAGAGCATTGCTTTCAACAGCAAGATGCAATATCCTTATAGGTTAATTTCCCCCAAGAAACAGGAACCTCAAACAGGCCCAAGGACAATTCCGTCTCACCCACACTGGGTACAGCCCTGCATTTGGACTGTGGCAGTACAATTCTTCACCTAAACTTGAGGCGAGTGAAGGACTGCACGCTAGTACAGCCTGTCATTCAAACCATGGCAGTGCATGTGCTACAATGCTGACTGGGAAATGCTCCTGTGATTTTCCGAGGTGTTTGCAGTGTGCAACTGCTAAAGTCAGTGGTGAGCTAGCTCAGCAGCCAGATTTCTATAACAAGCTATTAATTACTGGTGGGTATTTTTACTCAGTGGTTAGCATGGCTGTGAATATGCATGTGGGTATGGATATGTGTGAACATGTGCACACTAGGGGGGGTGTGCCCAGGGGCTGAAATATTTATCAGTACAGACCTAAAAGTGGAACAAAAAACCCCAACTGAACCAACACTGCAGACTGCTTTTTACTTTTGCTTTGCTACAGTGGTGCTTTCAGCTATATTGGGAGAATGCAGGGTGTCCCTGGGGCATTGTAAATAGCACTCCAAGCATCCACACATACATACATGCGCACACACTTTTTCTACATAGTAAGTTACATTCAACTGTGTTTCCTGATCATCTCATTAAGCTGCTCATCTCCTTCGAGTTTGACTGCTGTCACGCCTTGCTGCCAGCATCCCGACCAAACTGTGCTCTTCTCCGCTTCTACCATATGTAGCCTCCATCGTCTGCCTCTCCCTCTTCTTCTTCAGCCTCTTCTCCAGCTTCCTCAGTCTCTTTCTCTTCCTCATCCTCCCATCCAACGCCACTCCCAAAATCCCCCGAGAACCCAACTATGTCATCTACAACAACAAGACAGCGCGAGTTAGGGAAATCACTCAGTTGGGAGCCCAGCGTACCTCACAACATTCTGCTGTAGGCTGAGAGAGGGAGCCAGCTAGATTAAAGTTAGCTTGGGGGTGTCTACTTGAGTTGCCTGCGATTACAGTGTAGACATACCCACAAATGAGTGTTTGCAAACTCAGCCCTGCCCAGTTCTAACAATGTGACCCATTCTTCCCCAGTGGTGGCCCTTCTATCCCAGCACCAGGCCTTGACACAGCTCTCCCAGTGTATCTCTGTCCTCATCAACATCCCTGCTATCCCAATCTGAGGTACTCCTCAAGCACCATCCTCTGGTCAGGACAAACTGTGCCAAAGTGGGTAAAGGTTTTACAATGTAAATGAACATCCATTAGGAACTAGGATGAGGTTTGTTTTCATTTGCTATGACCTAACCTCACATCACTTGGGCTCAATGCAGGAATCATTGGAGGAGGCCCTATGGCCTGTGCCAGGTAATCACAATGGGTCCCTGTGGCCTTAAAGATCTATGAATCTGAATCCAAATTTCTTGAGTTCTTAACATTCAGGCATAGGCTTTGGTGACCCTTTGGGTGCAGGCTTTGCAGGCGTGCTTGCTCTACATGGCTCCGGTGATAGTCACTTGCCTCTTCTTGAAGCAACAGCGCAGCCAAAGCTGCTCTTCTGTGATGCAATGCTCATTCATTGCCAAGTCAGATGGACATGAATACTTCCCCCTCCTCCCTCCAGTGTCCTTACCACAGTCTGGGTTTCCACGTATCCGTGTTCCTGTCAGCTCCATGCCAAGCTGGTCAACACACCAGCACTCCCCACTGCTCTGGTCACACTGCATCTTCCTGTAGTATCCATCTTCGTCGCAGCTTGGAATGAAAACACCTGGGGAAAAATGACAGGAGTCTCCAAAATTGGGCCCAGTGTGAGAACAGGAAATCTACAATATAACAGCTACTGCTGCATTTGAAACATGGAGATGGACTCAGCTGTTCTAAAAAGAGTTACTGAAATCCAGCAACCTGCAGTGGACGCTGCCTCACAAGGTGAAATACCAGGAGCATGCACAAAGGGGCAGGTCACAGGGTGCATTTATCAGAAGTTCAGGGGAAGAGCTCACGAAGCAAGAATGTCACAGCTGCATACATCTTATAACAAGGTCTCAGATGAGTCCAACAGTAACTCAGAGTAACATCTAATGCATCACAGTGAGAAATATCATACTGGTATTCTGAGGTGGGTAATATCTCAACTACAGGGAGGTAAAGGGGCCGGGGCCGATATCAACTTTGCTCAGAAGGAATGTGACAGGCGAGAGAACTTCACAACCATGATTAACCCAAGATTGTTAGCAATGCCAATCCCAGGGACCAGACGCTGTGCCAGGACTAGATCCTGCTACAAGGGGAGAGAAGTCCATCCCATCCACCGTTACTGGGAAGTTCACATGGCTCGTGACTCACCAGGTTTCTTTTTTGCTGCTTCTTGGATCTGGATCCTTTCCAGCTCCACGAGACAGGGGGGCTCTGTAATACCCAAAGCAAACACTTCTTAGAGCTAAGTGGGCATCTCAGCACGCATACCTGGTTTTATTTAGGGAGGACTCCTCCTTCAGAGATGGCCAGGGGATTGGTGGTGAACGGAGGATGAGGATCGCCTTAAAATGGTCAGAAGAACCAGGTTTGCTCAATCTCTCTCCTCATCCAACCCCACTCCTCCCAGCTTCCTTTATGTGCTAATCAGGGAGCCCCTCCCCCTCACCCCGGCCAGTGGAATCTAGAGCCTTGGACACAGTCAGGTTCTTAGTTAACTTCCTCACGGTCTCACTCCGTTAGAATGACACAGTCTGAAGAAGTGGCTCTTCTGTCAAGATCTTCCCATTCATCGTCAGTGCCTCACCCAGTTCATTGTATAATGCGGGGCTGTCCTCATAATTGGACTTCAATGGAAATGTTAGGTGGGATGACTGTTTTCTAAGTATATTCAGCTCTTTATTGCCCTTTGTATTTATTTATAGCAGTATATATATTACCGTAGCCCCTTGTCTGGCATCTGGCTGCCTCACTGCTTTTTGACCAGAAAGTGGCTCTCAAACTTTTTTTACTGGTGACCCCTTTCACATAGCAAGTCTCTGAGTGAGTCCCCATTATAAATTAAAAACACTTTTTTGTATATTTAACACCATTATAAATGCTGGTGGCAAAGTGGTTGGGGTGGAGGTTGACAGCTCGTGACCCCCCCATGTAATAACCTAGCGACCCTCTGAAGGGTCCCGACCCCGTTTGAGAACCCCTGGGCTAGAGCAATATCTACCGTCATTGCCTGGGAATCACTCCACGCTGCCATCCTGAAATTCAGTTAATAGCCAGTCTGAACAGATGTGCCTTACAGTAGGCCCTGAACGTGACCAAAGCCTGGCTCTGGTGAACTGTCAGAGGAAGTCAGTACAAAAGGTAGGAGCCTTTTCTGAAAATACCCTAGGTCAGGGGTGGCCAACCTGTAGCTCCAGAGCCACATGCAGCTCTTCAGAAGTTAATATGCGGCTTCTTGTATAGGCACCGACTCTGGGGCTGGAGCTACAGGCGCCAATTTTCCAATGTGCCGGGGAGCGCTCACTGCTCAACCCCTGGCTCTGCCACAGGCCCTGCCCCCACTCCACTCCACCCCTTCCCACACCCTCCCCTGAGCCTGCCGTGCCCTCGTTCCTCCCCCTTCACCCCCAGAGCCTCCTGCACATCAAGGAACAGCAGATCGGGAGGTGCAGGGAGGGAGGAAGAGGCACTGATTGGCAGGGCTGCCAGTAGGTGGGACGTGCGGGGGGGTGATGGGGGACTGCTGGCGTATTACTGTGGCTCTTTGGCAATGTACATGGGTAAATTCTGGCTCCTTCTCAGGCTCAGGTTTCTGACCTAGAGATTTCTGTCCTGGGGCCTGACAGCAGAGGCACCCCAGGTGACCTTACCTGCTGGAATGGGACACAGTAGGAGGGAGTTTCTGTAATCTGATTTCTTAAGAAAGCCAAACCAGCTGGGGCTTTACAGAAGCGGGCAGACATTTTGTGAGGTTACTGACTCTTGGATAGCCATATAGAATTGCTGACTGAAAAGCCCATACAAAACAGCACTCTCTCTAAAGGAAACCTGGTGACGACGCACTTTCTCTCCAGAAGCAGAAGCACCATTCGGCAGTGGAGACGTGGCCGTCCTTATAGGTGTCACAGGAGTTGAAGAAGGGCCGGATGCAAATCTCATACTTATCTAGGTTGATAGCTGCGAGCTCTGTCTGGTCCAGGAAAAGGTCATTGTTTGTGTCCAGCTTGGAAAACATCCAGCCAATGGAATCCTTGCAACTGGCCACCAGGCTCTTGTCCAGCACTGTGAGCAAACCGAGGGAATGCAGGAGAAAGAGGGAACAGCAGAGAGAGAGGAGCGAGAGTCAGATCAAAAGTGCCTTTATCCCCTCACCCACACCACCACCATGCACACAAGTACTGTCAGATGGCAGTGTCTCCTGGAAGGGTGGATTGTTAGCAATCGTCAAATTCACCGGCTAAATTGTGTGCGTAACCACGGGATTCAGGACAGAAAATAAAAGGGAGAAAAATGAAGACTGGGGACTGTCCTGGGATAGAGGGTTTCCTTGTCAGAGAGTCGGCAAAATCATTTAGGCTTTATCAGGAGAAGTGCTTCTCCTGCTTCTCATCCAAAAACAGCACCCCCTTGCCGTGTCCTTTCTGTGTCAGAGTGAATGGCGTGCTGGCATGAGGTGCCAGCCTAGGGCAAACAGGCTGCTATGCACCCTTTATTTTCAGAAGCCAGGCCAATTTTGTCATGAATGCTTCCTTTTGAGGGCTGGTGAAATGCCCTGGCCTTGTGACAGTGCCCTGACATGAGGCCATGACGCTGATGTGGCCTAAGGAACCAGGACATTGGGATGGAATGGATCTCTGCTGCAGGACAAATTTATACAGGGTGAAGGAGGTCAGGAAGAACTACAGGGAGGATCACAGGGCATAAAAGCTGAGCTCTGCAGAGTCTGAGCACTTCACCCAATGAGTCCTGCACTGTTGTGAACTGTAATCCCTGCCAGCTACACACAGATCGCACAGCATAGAGGATTGTTAAACTGTGTCTCTGGGCAACACTCTTCAAACCCTGCTTCCCTTTCCCTATTCACAGAGGGTACAAAGCAGCTGCCAGTTTGGCTCTGGATGGACTTCCTAGCAGCTGGAGAAAACAAACATGGCCCATGGTTCTGATTATTAGAGCTGAGGGAGGAAAGCTCACGGGAAGGGGTGGCAGAGAAGTGTCTGCCTCAAACATAGCTCCTACTGCTGATTTCATCAAACAAATTCCCCCCAAGGAGCAATCAGCTCAGAGATTTTTGTTCACTGACATTTAAACTAACCAGATTCCTCCTGACTGAGCTCACTTCACACTCCACATGTGCTTCGGGACCAGGGAGGTACTTCGTTTTAATAGGCACACTGAAGTGTTTACCTTGCTTGTGCTCACAGCAATTGGCAGAGCTGATGGGCCATGCAGAGACCTCTCTCATTATTCTGCTTGACCAGTGTGTATCTAACACAATAATGGCTACAACCCCAACCAGCCAGGTTTCTGCACGGCCAACCTTTATTCAATCTTAAAAGTTACACAGTGGACACTTTCAGCCACTCAGAAAAGCTCTGTATGCATTAAAAATTATCATCTTTTTACCTGCATAGTAGGCCCTCAGATTGGCCATAACATACCACTGGGATAGTCTCAAAACCAACCAGAATGCAGCAGGTTAATAATGGCACATGCAGTAAGATTTACTCCACTGCACCAAAATCCATCAGATAAAATGGTCTGATTGCCACCCATCACTGGAATCATAAAGACATTTCAATAGAACATTGTCACAGGAGATTTATATTATCATTTCATTCACTGCCGAGATGTGGCTGCCTCCAGAGTGGAATATGGGAGCTCTTTAGCAAAGCACGGCAGTACTACACAACAGTTCACCCTAGGATTTCAGTATCCCACTGAAACTAGAGGGAGTTCAGGTAGGCAGAATGAAATTATCCAGACTGAAATCTGACTGGAACTCCTGGGATGACATGCCTATTCTTACAAAAAGGATCTTTAATAACTACATGTGGTCAGGAGCCTGCTTTGAGATCTTAAAAACAGCAACACAAGGAACCCAATTTCCAACTAGCCCCATGCTATAACATTGGTCCTGCACTGAGTCAAAAGGAAGGATATGAGCCCCACTTCCTGTAGCACCTAGATGTTCTATGGAGTTTTCCCTGCCAAATTCAGTGCTGATCCAACCCTGCTTACAGCAGGAGGTCTCGTAAGGTCACAGCACAAGGTTGTCCAACAACAAGATATGGGTCCTATCTGAAAATGTACCAGCTTCATCTTGGTATTTATATACCACATTGACCTTATCCTGGGACAACATTCTCTCCCCTGAGATTATGAGCCAGATTCTCTGGCCACCAAGTTCACTATGTGGTGCACAGTGAATGTAAAAGAAGCTGGAGATTCCCCCTGGCTGTGTGTAGGTGGACTCTCCACCAGAATAAAGCTAGAGCAGTCAGCTCCACCGTGTCTCTTGCACTGGAAACCTCTGCCCCAGTGTAAGGAGAAGGAGAAGTGTGTCAGGTGGGGAAGGGGAGTAGAGGAGTTACGATCCGTTTTGCCCAGTTCTCCATAGGTGGAAGGCACCTGAGGGATCCTACTCCCTGCAGCTTTAACTGATGCTGGTGCCAAGCAACTGAAAATTAGGGAGCTGCAATTGGCTCCCTGATAGACTCCCTCTCCACTGTACCTGAGCAAAGCATGAGCACAGTGGAGAATCAAGACACCCACACACACCCCTCCATGCATCTTGCACTGGAACCCATTCACCCAACCCTCCCTGCTGGATACTTCTCAGCCCTGTGGGTTTCATCAGCAGCTTGCAATCTCCCATCTTAGTGTGGCACATCTGTTGTCTCTGGGCTATCAGCTATGAGGCTGATGTCAGGGAAAGCAGCACTGTGACTGCACCTTACTGTGTTTTGTTTCCCCATCTGCCCCCAGGACACTGACATCTACCACAAGCCCTGCCTGCCTCTGTCACGTAGGCCTCTCACCAAAATGCACATGACATCAGTAGGTCTCATTTGAGCTTGGCTGATCTAGATTAAGGGCATAGGTTGTGAAAAAGGTACCCAGCATGTCAAACATGTCTCATGCTAATGGACAGACGTGGCATGTCAGACAGCTGTCCTGAATGGAACGATCCACTGGAAATTCAGAACACTGTCGTCAGTGAATGCGTCTTGCAGCATAGGACTCCCACAGCCCACCTGAAAGCCTTTTAGACATGTCAGCAAGCACACATGGGCCAAGCCTGCTCCAGAATTCATGTGCTAGGCCACTGGTAATTTTGCTCTCCCAGTCCAATAATCTATGCTCCCTTTGGGGAGGAAACATCGCATCATTTGCATTAGGTCTGATTTAGGAATAAAGAAATGGAGATCCAATACCCAAGTCTTGACCCAGCTCCTCAGCTGATGTAAATTGGAATAGCTCTGTTGAAGCCAAGGGTACTACACTGATTTACACCAGCTAGGAATCTGGCCCCATGTCACCACTAACAGCATCAGGGAATTCACCCACTGTGGCTGTAACCCTGATGCAGCTCCACTGTTGGCAGCACTGCATAGACAAGTTGCTGGCAGACACAGACGTTGAAGCACTGGGCCACGTAGATCTATTAGAAGCAAAGTTAGACCATGGGATGCTTCAAACACTGGGGGCTGCCTGGAGTCCCATTGTCACTAGCACTCCCGCTTCCACTATAACCAGGAGAGCTGGACTGGTGGAAGCAACGGTGGGAGATTCGGGGCAAAAAAGCCTAGTGCATCCATGCCCTGGAGTGACTGGTTTATGCCCCGAAGCAGGATGCTTAATGTCCCTTATATATTTTTATCCTGGCTAATGAAACCATGGAGGAAATTCTGATTACATAGCTCAATATCTATTCCTTGTTTGAGCCCTACTAAGTTCTTCTCTTCAAAATACATTTTGGCAGTGAGTTCCACAGATTAACTAGGTGTTGTGTAAAAAAGGATGTATTTTTATCAGTTTTAGATTTGTTGCCTTTTCATTTAATTGAAGGCTCCCTTGTTCTTGAATTATGAGAAAGGTCAAAAAGTAAGGATGGGCCAGTGGAGGGAAAGGGTGTGCCGGGGCTATGGGTCTAGTCTGAGAGTGGGGTTCTACTTCCAGTTGTGCCACAGACTTCCTGTGTGACCATGGGTAAGTCATTTAGCCTTTCTGTGTCTCAATCCCCATCTGTAAAACAGGGTTAACAGCACTCACTTACTTCATAGAGGTGTTGTGAGGAGAAATATATCATAGACTGAAGTGCTCAGATAGTGCATCACCTTCTTTATACCATATTTACAGTTTGTTATTGTATACCTCTAACAACAGCCTCTTTATTTGCCTTTTCTAAAGGAAATCATCCCAATCTATGTGCTTCCCCCTTATGGCGAGGGAAGTCTAATTATTTATACGGCCTTTCTCTGGACCCTCCTTTTTCTGCTGTGTTCTTTTTGAGATAGGGTGATACTGTATAAAAGATATGCCTGTGTGACCATTAAACTAGTGACAACAATAAGAGGCAAGAGAAGCAGGTGTTTGGACACTTAGCAGTTATATGGTGGGATAGTAGCTATGCAGTGAGCTATAAGGGGCAAAGGTTCAATTGCAGTGCCGCAATATGAGAAATCCTAGACCATATTAATCGTGGTCTGCATTTCAGCCACTCTGCCACAGAGGCACGAAGAATGGAACTAATGGACACTGAACTTAGCAAACTGAAATGCATGCACCAGACCTGACTGCACTGAGCAGTCTCCATCACTCTGCAGACCTTTGTTCCCGTCTCATCACAACCAGTATGAGGGAGGGGGGTTTGCGTGTCCACAAATGACAGATCTGCAGTTTCCATACCATTCACTGGATTGGCCCCTGGGTTTCCAGAACTGTTCTGCTTGGAGTTCTCACGTAGGAGCTGGAACCAGTCCCGCAGACGGTCTCCCAGGTCTGCTAAGTCCTGCCCGGTACAAGTCTCTGGAAATTAAATGGCGAACTATTAAACAAGCATCCCAGCTGCCGGGAAGGGCTGGGAGGATGGAAATGGATGCCAGGATTGGATAGCTAGGGTAGTTACCTAGCATGGGGCACAAACGTGGCTTCGGGAGCATGGAAACAGATGTACCCACAATTTCTGGGGATGGTGATAGAGGAGGCCTGTTGTCATAGTCTCAAGGGTGGAGAGAAGTAAAAGGAGAAAGATGGGTAGGCAGTCCCAAAAGATCTCCCCTAATACACTCCTCCAGCTAGTGACCTCCCAGCAACCAGCACTCTTCCAATCTTCACTGGCACCACCATCCTCACACCTTCCCCAGGTTTCTGGGCTGGGGACTCAGCCTGCCCTTGGATGACTTCTCTCTCTTGGCTCCTTTTCTCCACAGCTGTTCTATGCTTTGTTGTGCCTAGATCTTCTGCCATATAAGAGCTCACTCTGCTGCAGAGTTAAGAAACAAACTCCAGCTCTATTGGGGCTGCTTACAACTAAGCTTCTTTGATCTCCTGGCTTCTCAGACAGGTCCCCAGGAGGTATCTCTTCCAAACAGTTCCCTCCAGAAAACAGTATGCTGCCTGAACGTGTCTGCTGGCACTTCCGTATTGCTACAACATCGTCCATCTCATCGGGCTCCTGTCTGTACTGTCCCTGGTGCGCTCATCTTTTCTCCTGTCTCATTTCTCTTGCCACCCCTTTGATTTCCATTCTTTTCTCCTTCTTCCTGCTTTGTGCCTTCACTTCTTGCTCTCCCTTCTGTCTCTGTTATACTCCCTCTCCCTACTACAGGCTCTGCCTTTAGAGTCAAGACTGCTCCACCTGCATCTTTGTGTCCTCTCCTCCCCATCACAGGACATGCACTTTGCTTATTTATTTTATATCCAAGGGGAATAAAACAAACTAGGTAGCAGCCTCTCTCTTACCTTGTTTGACATCTGTGGTTGAGGTGGGGCCATGCTCGGTCGGGCAGGGGCACTGGCCCTCACACTTCACCGCCAGCTGCTTGCTGGTCAGGCAGGCTTGCTGCTCCAGTTTGCACTGGGAGAAGGAGCAGGAAGAGTCAGTGCAATAAGCACGATCCCGCTCTGAGTACTGCGCAACTCACACCACCCAAACCACGTTTGATTCTTGGATGGCAAAAGAAACTCCAATCAATCCCCTGGGTAACAAGCATGTTCCCAGCTGAGTGCAAAGCCCCACCAGGTTACAGGTGAGAGAGCAGGGAGTCGACCCACCACCTCCAGAATATGCATAACCAAGAAGGGGCCCCAACAGAAATGTGCTCTTCTGAGTTTCATGTTTCCACACTCCCCAGAGCTCATTCCAAAAAGCAAGGCCCCATGCATAGGGTCAGTCCATTCCACTGATCTTGCGACTACTTTTGTGTAACCTTTTCAAGCAAGCCCAAGTCCAGGAGCAGAAGAGGTCTCTGAAGGGACCACCTTCTACCCAATCAGCAATATTGTCTATACAGAACCATATAGGCCAGATCTTTCCAACGCAACTTTGCTTTCTGTTATTTCATCCCCACTCTAACTAGCAGGCTTTTGGTACTGAGCTCCCTAAGTACGGTGGGTTTCTTGCAGCCCTGCTAAATCAGGGTGCAGAGGAGGGGATAGACTATACCCACTTAGAAATCTGTGAGGAAGCGCATGCACTTTTCTGGCAGCTCTGAAAGCTGAGCATAACGGCTTAACTGATACAGATTCCCATCTTCTAGTTACCAGATCTACAGGCAACAAAACGAGGTCGGCACAGCTTTCCCAAACGAGCTGTGATTCACTACTGAGCCATGCTGCCTTGTAAAGCTTTGGTGTACTGTACACAATGCACAGTATATCCGCTGCTAATGTTATCACCACAGCACCGTGCAGAATCCAGCACCGCGTGATACCATGTCCCCAGCATGAGCTCATGTCACCCCTCCCAGTACTCCCCTCATGGACAACTGAGCCTAACTCCTCAGTCACTCCTGTGCCTCGGCACCAAGCCCAGGGAGTGTGGCTAGGGGACTGTCGCAGATACAGCTGTGAATACCAATGCAGACCTGAGCTGCACTACTATGGCTGGCTCTTCACTGGAAGCCATGAAGCACAGCAGCTCCCCAGAGCCAACTCTTTGACACCCACCCTCCTTATCAGTATATGAGCCTTTTCTGCCCCACTCACCACAGAGCTGTAAGTGTGTCCATCAGAGCCGCAGACAGATGTGAGCTGGGTCATGTGACATGGTTTGCAAAAGCTTTCTTTGTTTCCATGGTGTTTCAGGGCAGGCTGCTTGATTCTATTCATGGGGGGCGGGGAGAGAGAGAGACAGAGAGATGGATAGGTGCTAAGTAGGTTCACCCACACCTCCTCGCTTCCCAACAGAACTTGCTCAAGGCTTCTGCTCTTTGGTTCCCCAAAGAAATCCATTATTCTCATTATTCTGTGGTAAATGTTCTCACTTTGCAGGCCTGCAGGCAGCTGTTCACCCGTCTGTCAAACTGGGGGAAGGGGGGAAAGGAAGGCCGCTGTGAGGGGAAGGATGAAAGTGATCTTTGGAGCAACAGATTTAGAACAGAAACCCAAGTGATACTGGAGTTGATTGTCTTACCTGGGTCTCAAGACTGCAAGGGAAGGCAGGTGGGAGGTGGCTCTCCAGTCTCAAGGGAACAATTGGTACAAGAGCAGAGAGAACAAGGCGATTCTTAAAGGCCACAGAAAAACAAATGGGGGAGACACCAACATTATAGGGTGCGATGGCAATGGGCTCAGACAGGGCCAGTCTGCCTGAGGGGCCTGGTGGTAATCAGTGTCCCGTTAATGCAGTTCTGACTGCTAGGACTGGAACAAACCACCATCCCAAAGTATGATGTGAGGCAGGCTTTCTCCATTGCGGGCTGTTGGGATAACTAGGCCTACAACTTTACCTAATTGGAAACTCAACTGTAAAAAGTGAGTGAAAGTTCATAAATTGTCACAGTGACCAGTTATATAAAATTGTTTAAGAAAAGATGTAAGAAGGAGCTGGAAAGAGTGCCTTAATTTAAACAGGAAAGGATTTACTGATATCACTCAAGGGCTGTGTTAAGATTATCACTAGTAAATGAGGAGTAGAAGACCAGAAATCAGTGAACTAAAATTGGGGTCAGGAAATTAGGCCTATTTAGGGTGACCAGATGTCTCGATTTTATAGGGACAGTTCCGATTGTGGGATCTTTTTCTTATATAGGCTCCTATTACCCCCCCCGTCCCAATTTTTCACACTTGCTGTCTGGTCACCCTAGGCCTATTTATAGACAAAATGATGAGGATGGACTATCCTGCCCACCACTCCCTGCTTGGGGTCCTCAGAAAGAGACTTTGGGAGAGGGGGTGTCAAACTGGCTACTGTGATGCTGGATAGCTGAAAGAAGAGAGGAGGGGAAGGAATGAGTTTCACCATCATGGCTGCCAGCCCCATCGTCTCCTGGGACCCCAGACCTTCTTCATCCTAATCCTGAAAATTGTCCTGACCAGAGGGACCCAGATGACATTGCCACTTCCACTGGCTTCAGCTGAACTCCAAATACCACCTGGGATGTTAGACTTTGTCACCCTCTACCCGTGTATGTTCTTTTCCTTCCCCATCATATTTCTTGTCTTCCCTATTCCTCTCCTTTTTCCTTCGGTTTATAAGAGTCTGGCTTAGATGGCCAACAGGGTACATTTTGCAACACTGCTGTCAGCCTGTGATCAGAAAGAGGCAGCTAAATGTAATGCCCTGAACAGCCTGATGCTGGTACAAATTTGCCAAGTCTAAGACTGGCTGATAAGACCATGTATTGGGCCTGTGTTTCTGCAGCAGAGAGGTTGCAAGCAAGAGTCAACACCAGTGACGGAAACTGCATTTTCTATCCTTGCTAATCTTTTCTCTCCCTTTTTGTGTGTGTTTGGTTTGTTTTGTCTTCTAGGAAATGGGATCAGACTGTAACAACAACAGCTCCAGACCATCTTAACTAACTTCTCTTTTCCCAAAAAGGACAGTTATTACCATCTTTCATACAAACCCAAATATTGTCAAACAAGAGGTTTTTCCTTCTAAAAATCTCTTCAGCTACAGAGAAAGGGAACAAGGAATGTTGCTAAAATGAAAGCCTTAATGTTTACATTCCAAAGGTTTTAACTGTTTCTCCTTCTTTTTTGTGTCTTTAATAAAAGGCTAACAGAATTTTTAATGGTTTGTTTGCCATGGAACCAATCGGGCGGAGGGCTTTGTGTACCAAACCCCGAACCTTGTTTAAAACTATTTAATGTTGGGCAGTGACTGGGTTATGTTAACACCTTTGGGCCCATATATTCCAGTTCAATTAATACAATAGGGCATGTGACTCTGGGGACTCTCTTGCTCCCTGCTTGCCAGCCTATGCCTGAAGCGTTATTCTAGGCAAGGCCCAACACCTTTTTGTTTCCTATTTAGTTTGGAGGAGTAGGGTTTCTATTCCACTTCATGTGCTTGCTGGCTATGGGGATCTTCCAGACATAGCACAAACACGCCAGTATTTTACTAGGCTATGTCTACACTTACTGCAGAGTACAGATGCTGCATACCCCCTAGCGCACACATAAATACTAGTGTAAACGGTAAGGTAACTGCTTAGTGAGGAGAGTAAAAACACACCAAAACCATAGGGTATATATCCTACATGGCTCATTACACGCACAAGCGGTGCTTCCCTGTCTACACTGCTATGTTTAATAGCATAGTGTCTCAATGGCAGAGCCTTTCCCCACCACTGGGAAAAGCTCCAGCAGTGGGGAAAGCCTCTGGTGGGTGGAGGCATCAGGGAAAGATTCCAGCAGATCCCTGCTGCCAGAGCCTTCCTTTTCTACCTCCCTCCTGCCAGAGCCTTTCAATGAGGCATGTAGCTACATATCACAGTGTGGTCACAGCCCTTTTCGCTGTGGCATTTAGCTACATGCTGCCCCCAGTGTAGACAAGGCCTTTGAGTGCTGTCGGTAACTATTTCCGTTATGGCGCCCAGGGCCCTTCAGGCATGCATTCATTGTTCTTAAGATCAAATCTTGGGGGAAGGGGAGATCACCTCTGAAGACAATAAGTGCCAAGATCACCTTTAATTATAACAACCAGTCTGTGGAGCTGCCCGAAGCCCATTCATGGCATTGAGGAAAACAGGAGGGGTTCAGAGCAAATTACCTCCAAGTTCCCATCCTCCTAGAAAGGGGGAGGGCTGGTTCGCCTATGTTCCCACACCCTAATAGCCTGCCAAGGTCCCTCCAACTGGCATTGTTTTTTTTGTCCCTGCTACTCCATGTTCCCATCCCTAGAGAGGGTTCTGTCTTTACCACTCAGGGCCCAACACTGCAACAAGAACAGACATACCCCGAATATACTGCCAGTTGTAAAAGACTCAGCCAGGAACTTTAGAGTGTGGGATACAGGGAGGTTCAGAACAAAAATGATCCTGTCTTTCCTGTCGAATAAAGCCCAGTGCTCTTTAAGCATTCCTGCTCTGTCCCTGGTACAGCTGCTTGAGGTAAGAATCTACTTGGCCTCAAGTGGATAGAAAAATCCAGGCCAAGTTTCACCTCTGTTGATTAAGGAAGTCTTTCCTAATGCCAGATTCTGCAGGCTCCCCGGGTCTGCCTGTCACACAGGAATAAAGATGAGAAGAATGTGACTTGGAGGTCTGTGTCCACTGGGAGCTGACCATGTGGATAGCAACAGCATCCAACCACCTGTTCATCACTCCCATTTAACACCTGGCTTAGCAATAATGTGGCCTATTGGCCTTTAGCACTGTTAAAAACACTGTCATGGTAAACTGGGCCATACCACTTTCTCTTTTCCTCTCAGTCTGTTTGCAAAGTATCTTTGTTATAGAACTAGGGTTATTTATTTTTTAAAAGCTTTGATCCACTTTTCTTATAAAACAAACAAAACAGATCAAAAAACATTCCCAGCCACTCTGCATTTACAGTCAACCCCAGAATAATAAAACAGTGTGTGTTGGTGCAGCAGAATAAAAAAAAACCACTGGTAAGAATTAGGAAACAAGAAAAAGTTCTCCCATAGGAGTCAAGAAGATTATTACAAAGAGCAGTGAATTCAAGAACTGATTTTAAATTAATGGACTAATACCATTTGCAGCATCTGTCCAAGTCTGATCCTGCCAAAAATGATCACTAGAGTACATCTCTCTGCATGACCTCCTTACCCCTTTATAGCATTGTTTGCCAAGTGAGATTGTTCACATGTGACTATTTTTCCAGAGCATAGGAATTGGCATAATATGCAAGCATATCACCGGTCCTAATGGACATTTCTGGAATCCGTGTATTAAAAAGTGAGATTGGGGGGGGGGGAGGAGTGAATGCCTCTGTAATCTCCAGTGCAATAAATTGTAATAGGAACAATCCCATTTCAGAAATCTTGCACAGACCCAAGACCCTCTCTTACCTGTGCTCTAACTTTTTGCGGCTAATACACATAGCCCTCTGGTAGCCCTGGGCAATGCAAACTTTGTGCCGGCTACACTTCACTTTCTGGCAGGGGTCCTTGGTTGTGTCCAAAGCTGAAGACAGAAAAAGAAAGTGAATAGCTAGTATACCAAACAGCCCTTATCTCACTTACCAGTTCCACTATGGTTGCTATCCACCCTGAATGAGGCAGGAGAGTCTCAATGAGGACTGCCTCAACATAGGTCTTGTGTCTTAATATTCATTTTAGGAAGGCACACAACACAGACTCTCCTAATGATCTTTATTAAGTCATTTCACATTTACTTTTGTGTGCTCCTTCAAATCCATCTTTAAAACTCTCCTTTGCTATGATGACAAAAGCCTTGACAATAGTTAGGCAGCTGTTCTCAGACCTCTGCCTATCATGCTGATCAATATTGTCTCATTGTTTTCTTGTATTCCCCAATGTCTGTCTGTCTGTATCTATCTGTTCTTTCTTGTCTTGTACTTGGATTGTAAATTCTTTGTCGCAGGGACCCTCTTATTGTTCTGTGTTTGTACAGTGCCTAGGGTGAGTTAACATTTAGAAGGTGCTAAGTATAACTAACAACATAGAGAGATAGTGTCAACAAAACGACATGTATTTATTTGCTCACATTCTGAATTGCGAAAAATATCAGCTCACTGGGGTCCTATCTATAGAATAGCAAGAAGTCAGCTTGTCAAGAACAGCATTAGTCACTGATGAGCTGCTTTATTGCTGGGGCAGCACTCAGAGGGATTCAGCTTGAGTCACTGCAGCCCCATGCTCAGGCAGATTAAAGACCAGAAGCCCGACCTTTCCAAATCAGGACGTGATGGATAACACAATAAAAGCTAACTAAGCACAAAATCACAAACTCGTTGATGTCTGTTACAGACCAAACAAATCTAGTAGGGAACAGAATGACCAGCTCCTTATGCATCTAACTATAATGTGTAGGAAAAAGATCTGCATGATTTCAACTGAGTGACATACGCTAAAGATCTCATGCTGACAGTACTAAAACATTCTTGGTATTTTTAAATATTACAGATGACAACTTCCTAACTCAAAAAGTGTTGCATCCAACACAGGGGAATTCTATATTAGATCTCGTCTTCACAGATAAAGAGGACCTTATCACAGAACTAAAAATTAATGGTAGCTTAGATACAAGTGATCATGACTTGATCACATTTATAACGTGCAAACAGAATAATGTCCAGACCAGTATTATATATACTTTGTGCTTTAAAGGGGCCAATTTTACAAAGTTGGAAATGATTATGCACCAAATCAGCCAGGGGAAAGAATTTAATTAGACAATGTGAATGATCATTTGGAATTGTTTAAGGATACTTTACTAGATGCCCAAAAATCCACAATCAAGCAAGAAGGCCATATTGGTTCAAAAACCAACTTAGTTTAGAGGGAAAGAGAAGGCAGCTATAAAAAATTAAAAAATAATATATAACAAATGGAAGAAAGGGGAATTTGGTAGCAATAAACATAAATCAAAAGCTAGGAGAAAACTGATAAGGAAAGCAAAAGGACACAAGGCGAAATCTATGGCCAGCAGAGTTAAGGAGAATAAGAAGTTTATTTAAATATATTAGGAACAAAAAGAATTTTAACAGTGGTCAATTACTAGATGGAAATGGTAGAATTATCAATAATAATGCAGATAGGCAGAAGTGTTCAATAACTATTACTGTTCTGTATTTGGGAAAAAACAGATGACACAGTCATATCAAATGACGATAACTCTCTTTCTATTCCACTAGCATCTTAGGAGAATGTTAAATAGCAGCTACTAAATTTAGACATTTTTAAATCAGCAGGTCCAGATAACTTGCATTCAAGAGTTTTACAAGAGCTGGCTCAGGAGCTCACCGGACCATTAATGTTGATTGTCAATAAGGTTTGTAACACTGGGGAATTCCAAAAGACTGGAAGAAAGCTAAAGTTGTGCCAATATTTAAAAAGGGTAAATGGGATGACCTGGGTAATTATAGGCCAGTCAGTCTGACATCATTCCTGGGCAAGATAATGGAGTGGCTGATATGGGACACAATTAGTAAAGAATTAAAGAAGGGTAATATAATTAATGCCCTTAACCTGGGTTTATGGAAAATAGATCCTATCAAAAACTAACTAGATTTTTTTTATTAGATTACAAATTTGTCTGATAAAGGTAATAGTGTTGATGTAATATACTTGGACTTCTGTAAGGCATTTGACTTGATACTGCACAACCTTTTGATTTTAGTTTTTTAATCATATAAAATTAACATGGCACACATTAAATGGATTAAAAGCTGGCTAACTGACAGGTATCAAAATATAACTGTAAACAGGGAATCATCATGGGGGGGGGTTAGTGCAGTCCCCCCAAGGATCTGTTCTTGGACCTATGCTATTTTACATTTTTATCAGTGATCTGGGACATAAAATCATCACTGATAAAGTTTGCAGATGACACAAAAATTGGGGGAGTGGTAAATAATGAAGAAAGCAGTTAACTGACAGAGCAACTGGAATTTCTTGGTAAGCTGGGTGCAAACAATGTGTGTTTTAATACAGCTAAATGTAAATGTATACAACTAGGAACAAAGAATGTAGGCCATACTTACAGGATGGTGGACTCTAACTAGGGAAGCAGTGACTCTGAAAAAGATCGGGGGTTGTGGTGGATAATCAGCTCGACATGGGCTCTCAGTGTGACCCTGTGGCAAAAGGCACTAATGCGATCCTTGGATGCATAAATATCCAAATTGAATAGGAGTAGAGAGGTTATTTTACCTCTGTATTTGGCACTTGTGCTAGTGCTGCTGCAATATATAATCTAGTTCTGGTGCCCGCAATTCCAGAAGGCTGTTGATAAATTGGAGAGGGTTCAGAGAAGAGCCATGAGAATGGTTAAAGGATTAGAATACATGTCTTACAGTGACAGACTCAAGGAGCTCTATTTATTTTAACAAAGAGAAGGGTAAGGGGTGACTTGATGACAGTCTAGAAGTACCTAAATGGAGAACAAATATTTGATCATGGGCTCTTCAATCTAGCAGAGAAACGTGTAACACAATCCAATGGCTGGAAGTTGAAGCGCGACAAATTCAGACTGGAAATAAGGTGTACATTTTTAACAGTGATAGTAATTAACCACTGGAACAATTTACCAAGTGTCATAGTGGATTCTCCATCACTGGTGATTTTTAAATCAACAATATATGTTTTTCTAAAAGATCTGCTCTAGGAGTTCTTTTGGGGAAGTTCTGTGGCCTGTGTTATACAGGAAGTGAGACTAGAGGATCACAGCAGTGGCCTTGGAATCTATAAATGAGGTAAAACTAATTTCTCCCATGCTTCTTCTGTCCCTCCAGTTTGATAAAACTGCACTTTGGGGGCCAATTCAAGCACTGCAAAGAAACAAGCATAAGATTTTTTTAATGCTTCACATGCTGGGTCTCAGATGTTGTCCAACCCTCTGTGAACACGATCTCCCACTGCCTAGAGAACCTCTTCATGGACAGATGAGCAGCTGCAGCAGGCAGCACTGGCTGTGATCTAGAGCTGCTATCAAACTGCTCCTGACACCAACAGATGCCTTGTGTTTCACAGCCCTTCACAAGTGAGTGTAGACGGTGTTGCATAATAGCACACAGCAGACCCAGCCCTAGCTGAAGGGAAATCCAGCATTAGGCACAGCAACAGGGCAACAGTACACCTCTAGCAGGATGGGCCAGTATCCAGCAGCCAATGCAGGGATCATGTCCAAATGGGAACACATTCAGGTACCTGTTAGGAGTACAGTAAAACTGTGCAGAGGGGTGAGGGACAGAAGGATCAACACTCAAAGAGTATCGTTTATTTAAAGGGCAGTGGATGCTTCATAGCAAATCCTGAAATACATCCTATTCTGATTCAGTTTAGCCTACTTATCATATTTCCTGAGTGGGTTTCTTCATTCATTTGTATGATTAGCGATAGCTTCATAAAGATAGTATCATTGCTTCTTCAAGTACATTCCCCCTGAACCTGAAACAAGAATCATCCATGACTTCACAACCCTAGCCTGTTTCCAGAGCAATTCATTGTGGAGTTAAAATAAGGAGCCTGACTTCAACTGGAGAATCAGCAACAGGAGCAGATGAAAACAAAACAACAGTGCCTAGCATTTATATAGTGTCTTTACAAAAGTTGCAAGGGCGATCATTTAACTCTACACTGAAGTATAGTAAACACAGGGCTGGATCACAACTGCAGCAGCATGCAGCATCCCTACCCAAACCTTCAGCATCTAAGCGAAGAATACTGTATCATGCTGAATCTGCAGGGAAAATGCAGGTAGAATTTACTCAAGCTGGAATTTAGGCAGGACATGGACTCTTACTAAAGTGGAATGAGATCTTTAATGACCACAGTGGTCAAGACCTCAGTTTAAATCTCATCCAATAGAGGGCACCTCCATTGTCCCTTTCACTGGCTGGTGGGGCTCAGAGGGAAGAGCCGCACCCACTGAATTGGCAGCCCCACTTCCTGGGTTTCCTCAGCGGTAAAAAGGTTCTGTTTCCACACAAGAACCAAGTAATTAGGTGCAGAACACGTCTCAGAAAGGGCTTCAGTTCAGAGCCACAGGACTTTCTATAAGGACCTTTCAGGGAAAAGTCAGCAGCTCCTTAATAAGTGAGCACAACCAAGAAATAAAGTTACCTTCATCAACTGGCTGATTATCTTCCCAGCTCTTGATATAGTCATCCTAGTGAAGGAAGAGAGAACAGCTTAGTCAACAGAACATGCCAAATATCAAAATCCAAATGCTCAGAACGATGAGCCTGATCAATGTTTAGAGGTAACACTGGCCCAGGGATGTAACAATGATGCCTTCCTCATGGCTAGGACTCTAGCAGAGGGCCACACATATGGTTACAAAGACAATGCAAAGATTCATATTGTGTTTATTTATTCTGTGTTCTGCATTGCTGGTGAGGGGAATTTGGTCCTCTTGGAAACAGAAAGGCCTAGTTCTCGTTCTCTCTCTCTCTCTCTCACACACACACACACCGCTCTGCTCACATTCCTGACCTGTAACATACAAAACCTTGTTTGCCTCACACACAGACCTCTGCAGATCCACTGCTCAAGAGTGAGATTTTCATACATTCCAGTATCCAGCCTGCTCACACAACTGCGCAGATGGGCAATGCAGAGGGATGGCAGGATGTGCATGCTTGTGCCCTCACACCAAAGTCCAGCTGCTAAATCTAATTCCAGGATTATGCTTGCCTTGGCCGTTGGTGTGTTTATTTAATGGCAAACCCCACAAATAGGAAAACTGAAGAACATAAATCCTTGCCTCACGGCAGAGAGGTGCAAATCTTGCTCCAGCACATGAGAGGCAGAAGCAGTCTGATGCCCTAACCTCAAACTGGGGTTAACAGTCTCCAAGGCATCTGTGAAGACCTGCAGGGTATCTGCATTTTCCCAATTCACCTGGTGCATTTACACAAACATATTCAACAGGGGGAGTCTACAGTTTAGAACGTCAGGGACTTACTGCCCTAACCTCCTTCGTGCAGGGACCTCCATACACTCATAGTAATACATTGCTTGCTGCCCCAGCGTCATTGCACTGTAAAGGGCCACCAGGTCATGGCTTGGAAGTGGCAGGAAAAGTTATCAGATGCTGGCACAGCTGTTAGAATGTAAGGTGCTGAATCAGTTACAATTCTTGGGAAGAAAAAACACAAGTCCTTTGTCTCTGACTCCCTCATCCTGAAAAGTGATTGATCATTTGTGAAGGCTCAGCACTTGAGGTTCCTCACTGCTTCTCCACGCTCCCCAGCCCATCCATGACAGTGGCCTCTGTCCACATCAAGCAAATGGGCAGTAGAATCTTTCCACAGATTTCCAGGGAAAAGCAACACTACTATTAAGGTGAGGAAATGGAGAATAAAGGATAAAAGTCAGATGTGCAATAAAAATAAGAAAATGAAAGGAATAATACCAGACCCAATGGGTCTAAAGTTCATGTTTTGTGGGGGGTGAAGCTGAGGTGCAGAGAGATCAAGTAACTTGCCTAGTGACACACAGCAAGTCAGAAGATCTGGGAATAGAACCCAAGAATCCTGACCAGGGGCCCTGCCTGGGGTCTCAAGCGGGAGGGTGGGGACGGGCCTTACCAGATTGATCCTGAGCCTCAAAGATAAATTGCTGGGAAGGATGGATGCTTTTCTGTGCCACCCCCCTAATCAGCACCAGTGCCTTCTGGTGGCTTGACTTGGCCCTTCACTCTGGCCAGACACCAGGGACTGAGCCAGCCTGGCCCTGCCTCGCACGACCTCAGGCATTACTAGGAAGTTCCGGCAGAGTTCAGGCTCCTGGTGGGGTCTGCACAGGCTGCACAGTAAAAAAGGCCTGGCAGTGGCAACACTGTTGCCCAGGCCACCACCACCCCTCCCGGGACCAGCACCCTTAGAGCCAGCTCTTTGGTATCCCTCTCCCACACAGGCAATGTATGGGGAGCCGCAGAGAGGCAGTGCCATTCCTGACTGCTGGCAGCAGTACCAGCCCAAGCTCCTGCGCCGATGCCATTCTCTGTGGGAAGGGGCAAAGACCTGCTGGCTGAGTACCGCACTACCTCGGAGGCCTCAGCAGTACTACCAGCTGGGGGACAACATTTTACCTAATGTGTCAGGACTGGGGCGGCTTTGCCCCTCTCTACCCCCTGCCTTGTGGTGCCCCTTATCCTGACTTGCAGTCCCCTGCTCTAACCACACTTCCTCCCCCTGCTGTGCAAAGGTTAAACCTCTCAATCCTTCCCTTGTTTGTTGAGAGTCTCCAGATTTGGAAAGTTACCAACAATTAACAGCCCCACCACAACCACTGGAGCTGTTCTCCTTTAACAGGGTAGTCAATAGGTGGACCATGGGCCAAATCCAGATCCCCAGCTGCTTTTGAACAGATTGCAAAAATCTTTTTATTTATTATCATTATTGTTATTATTTTTGTATTATTTTCCCTGGAGCCTGGATCTTGACTATACCTTGACCAAGAAATGTGGATCTTGACAAAAAATAATTGATTACCCTGGCCTTTAATATGTTATATACACAGAATCAAATGCAGAGAATACAAACAAAAATGCGAGGGGAGAGTTTAACAGTAAATGAATCCAGGCCCTGGAAGAGAGTACGGGTGTGCATCTCATTTGTAATGTCAGCACTAGAATGGGTTTCTCCTTGCAGGTCTCTTTTCTTTGCCAACCATGAATGAACATTCTTGTAAGACTCTCTGAAGTGCCCTGATGGCCTGTATTAAATGACAGCAGATCACACACTCCACACCCTTTGAACAACAGTTTTGTTGACTGTCCCCTCCAGTAAGGAAATTCAGCCTCTGGTACTAGGGACTCACTACCGTGTAGAAGGCTCTTCCTTGAGCTGTCTGGGCTTATTTAGATTATTAACTCTTGGAGGCAGGAACAGGGTCTTCCTAGACTTTTATACAATGCTGAGCACTGTCGATGCTTAACATGTAACAACAATCCTCTCTGATAGACGCTGGTTCAATTCCATCAGTGGGGCCTTCTATCTTGTGGCAGGGCTTGGGGCATAAAAAAAGGCGCCACCCGCTGCGGCGCTTGTACTCACCGGGTGGCGCTCCGAGTCTTTGGCTGCACTTCGGCGGCGGGTCCCTTCACTTGCTCCAGGTCTTCGGCTGAAGGACCCGCCGCTGAAGTGCCGCCGAAGACCCAGAGCGAGTGAAGACGCGGAGCGCCACCGGGTGAGTAAAGATGAAAAAGGCACCTCTACCCAGGGAAGGTATTCTCGGCCAGGGCTCGCGGGGCCCCTGTGGGGCCCGGGGCAAATTGCCCCACTTGCCCCCCTCTGGGCGGCCCTGTGGTGATGATTATATATACAGTTTCTCAGGATGAAATTCACCCTGCGCAGAGGGCCAGCACCAGGCTCGTGCATCATTTCATTCCCACTTAAGTGGCCCTCTGCCTGGGGGTCAATATGCATATGTATAGGCACACACACACATATACGCACGCAACCACATACATAGAGCCCTGTGCACATACAAAATTTGGATCTGCATCCATCCATGATCCACAAAAATGGTCCACAGCTATCCGCAGATTTGCAGGGCTCTACACAGACACACACTCATCCTGGCCATACTTCATGCAACATGCAACTGTTCAAATCAACTCAAAATATTCTCCTGATAAACTAAAACTAGAGGGAGGGAGCTGGGGTGGAGAACACAGGGAACATGACACAGATGCCCTGTAAAGATTAAATGAAACCAGATTCAAAAATCGATACTAACCTCTACCTCCTGCGAATTCAGCCCACAGCAGAAGGGTAGGCGAAAAAACAAAAGGAGAGAGAAAAGAGAACACACATGAAATATACCGACACTGCCAGAGCTCAGGCTGCGAGAAAGGGCTGGGTTTGTGATCACACAGACAGTATTTCTTTGTTTAGATTCCCTGAAATGTCATAATTCATTTCCTCCAAGTGATGTATTTTTATAAAGACTCCCCCAATGCATCTTTTCTTGCTTTCTTAATTTGCATTTATTAAGTCGTACTTCTGTCACAATGGCAACAATGGAATTTGATTGCAAGGAACAAAAATTAAGGCAAAGGCTGATAATTCAGGCTTTGTGCAAGCTGCAGCACTGCTCCCAACACTTCTTGGTTAGCCCTGGGACAGAAACAATGATGTTTCAGCAGATGGATGTAATGTTTCATACAGCAGAGTTCACAATAATACAAGTACCTTTCTATTGTTCTGCAGTCTCTCTGCAATAAAATAATGTTAAACAAAAAAAAGGCATATTTGCAGGCAATGAAATCCTGACTGTTCTCCTGTTATGACAGCTCCCTTCTCATACACCCAGGAAGGGACATTTTAGAGCATAGGGGAGGGGGACGGTATCATTAGGAGGCTTGGCAGTGACCAATATTCTATTGCAAGAGACTTCTTTACTGATTTAAGCCAAATTAGTGCTGTCACAGGATGTTATTTGGCTCCTGGTAAAATGGATGTCCCTGCACCTTTGGTCCCAGCTGTTCTCTTTAGCGCACCATCCACAGCTCCAGTGTTAATCTTCCATTCTGACACGTCCAAGAGCCCTGGGGGCTGATATCAGCCATACCACATGTCCTATCAGCAGCTGCAGCTCAGCTCAGGAGAAGAGCTGGCTCCTATGCAGGCTTCACATTTATCCCAAATGGGAAGAAAGCCAAGAGAAATCCTATATTTCTACAAAATGGACTTGGGGGATGCCACCCTCTGGTAGAGCCTCCAAGCAAGGGGCTGATGCTAGAGAAGCTCTTGCTAATGCACTTGGACAGGTCTGAGGAAAACGAGGCTGTGATAAGACATGGGGTCCTATGCAACTCCAGTCTTTGAAGGTCACAGATTGGTAACAACATATTTTCTAGATGCAACTATCTGCCAGCAATTTGTAAGGGAGGGATTAGGTATAGGTCTTTAGCTCAGCCCATCTCTGGGACACCTACATCCCTAGTGAACCATGAATCCACCATACAGGGACATCACATAGGGACTTCCTGAGCTGCCCTGGTGTTGTATGATACAGTTGGGTCCTTTAAGAATATTGCAGCTGTCAGGAGCATGCGGTCACCCAGGGTTTCTCATTACTGCTTCAAAGCCCAGATCCAGGGGTTTTGCCAGGCAAACTGGCAAATGTCTATCCCTGCCAACCCACAGTCACCCACAGCGTCTCCAAGTGTTTCACTGCCTCATACATGGTATTCCCTTAAATGACTGGCTGTCTGGTAGAGCCCTGCTATTTCCTCCGCCGCTTGGCCGCATGCAGAGACTAATATATTGTGGTCAGACCTGGCAGAACCCAATATCAAATTCAGGAACTACACGAGTCAACCCCGTGCAGTGCAAGGCCATCAAATACCTGCACTACATACCTTTAAAACTGTTTTTTTTTAAATCCTCATTCCCTCCAGCCGTTCTGCTAGTAAAATATTTGCATCTTAACACTGGCTTCATTTTCTCTCTCAATAGTTTAAATGAGACTACTAGAGTGACCTCTGTCTCTCTAATAAACACACACATGTGCACATGCACACACACACGTTGCTATAATTGAACATGCACATACACAGAGAGATGCAGGCACTATCTTTCCCAGTTTCCTTTCCCTTGTCTTGCTAAAAAGACCCAGGCTGTTTGTTCTGATAGCTCAGACAATGCACAGTTTCTCAGTACAGAACCCCAACCTTTCTGGATAACAGAACTTTATTTTCTGAAAGGTTCAAAAAGGAGCAAACAAAAAAGGACCCCTTTAAGGGAGATCAGCATGGGCAGAGGGGTCCCAGCCTGGGTCCCAAATCTAGTAAGGTTTTTAAATAGCACTTTATCTGTCTAGTGAGAATAGCAGCAGACATACAATTACAGACCCCTCCTAACAGGAAACCTGCCCCTTTGTTCAGTCTCTAAAAGAACCATCCATCTCTCCACTTTCCTGCTTGGGGGACTCTCTTCCAAGCCTGCAAGCACCTCTTCAATGACTCTTCTTCTTCCTTTCCCAGTGTTTTTTTTATCTTCCTCGCCAAGCCTCAAACCACTTCTTCCTCCTCCTCCTGATGCTGGCAGGTTTCCGCACAGCTGGAGCCTTGGACTAAGAGAGCTGGATTGATGCAGCCATGCTGCGATAGGCTCAAAGGCATTGTGTGTCCCATCTGCCAACGGCGCTCTTTGTGGGGATGGCAATACAGAGCAGAGGCAGGACAAAACCAATGTCTTTTCTACTGAACACACTCAGGACTTCCAACCCTTTCCACTCCCACTGCGAGCATGTTCAATGACCCCAATCCGCCGAGCAAACAAAGCATAACAAACAGTGCCCCTCTCACCAAAGGAAACGGCACATCATCAGACATGGCACACTGCCACCCTGCAGGAGCTCTGCCAAGCTAGCAAATGGACTTCTTTGAGAAGCTGGTGGCTTGCTGCATTGTGGAGCCAGCTGCCCTCTCAGGGTCACTCGCTGAGGTGGGACTGGAAATGGCTCTTGGAAAGGCTGAATCAGCAGGAGCCTTTTTGGAAAGATAGTGTGTCTCGGAGCCAGTATTGATCAGTGCCCTCACTGGCACAGGATGCAGTCAAGGGCAGGCTGAGTGCCATCTGCAGCACAGCAATGGCTGCAGTGCTGCCAGGGTGACATGCTGCAGAGGCCAGCTTCGTGGGGCTGCTGGGACAGTGCAGCATGTTATCATGGGGGAGACATGGGATAAACCCTCTCAAAGCACCCTCTGTATCATCACCAACCGTGGGAACACACCACAGATGTAAGAGGACCAGGGCACAGGCCCAGAAAGAATCCAACTGCTGCATGCAGCCTGACACAAACACTTTCCTATATTGGGGGAGGGAGCGTCACCGTCCTCTGAAACATCAGGCATTGGCTTCTGCCAGAGAAAGGGGATGGGCCTTGATGGGCCAGTAGTCTGTGCGCATGTGTAATAAACTAATCAATGGTGGTTCATTAACACCCCACGCACACCTTCTGGTAATTGTTCTGTACCAGGCTTATTAGTAAATTGTCAGAAAGAGAAAATGGATAACTCGTGATTTAATAGCAGAGAAGGGAAAAGAGCCTTCACCCAGCTAGATGGGGTGAGCTGGAGAAAGGGAAGGGAGAACTCACTGTCAGCTGGATGGGATGGGAAAGGAATGGTCACTCTCTAGTGCCTGAAAAGGGAGGAGCAGGAGATCCCACATGTTCCTGAAGTATCCCTGAGGCTGACACTGTCAGGGGGACAAGAACTTTCCCCTGTGAACATTAAACAACAAACACAGACGTGTCCAGTGCATCTCACAGCTCCCTGTACTTACACCCATTTTACACAGGTGTAATTTCACACGTGGATTTCAATGGAGTTGGCCCCAATTTATTCCAACACACAAGAGAAGAATCTGGGCTCTTGACCACTTTCCTCTCCTCTCCCTCCCTCTGCATAGCCTCCACCAACTCTCTGTCCCCTCCATACAATCCGGACAGTGTTGGTGCCAGTGTCTTCTCCTCTTCAGCTCCAGCTGTTTGGAGTGGCCTCCTGCAATTCCACCTGTCCTTGACTCTCCTTCTTCATCTGGCTATGAAATCCTGCATTTAATGTCTCTCTCTCCTACCTCAGAATCTCTCTCCCTTTGCTATTGGCAATTACGCCTCTCTGCAGCTTTGTTATTTAACTCTGCAGACAGCTTTAGGAAGCATTCTGTATGGAAGATGCTATACACAATAAAGCAATAACGTACTATGTGCACGTTGGAAAGTCCCCAAAACCAAGTCTCTTTCAAATGCCATCAGTAAGCTCATGGCTGCAGGGGATTTAATCAGTCCCCGCCTAGTTCTTGTGGAGGTTTATTTTCAGATTGTACAAGATTATTTAAATAAAACCTGTGAGCCAGCACTTTTGTTTGTGTCACATTCTATGGTTGGGAATGGGGGGGGGGAAGGATTGTTGACAGTGTAGGTCACTCGAGACAGCAGCTCCCTCAGGAGCTGAAAGCACAGAAAAGAGACTTTGCCTGATCTTGTGCTACGGAAGGGAAGTTTGGCACCAGAACAAAGGCCATGGAGAGGATGCTGGAAATGCTCGCTGCCTCCTCCAATCCAGAAGCCTCACATTCAGGACCTCAGAAGAGTTAAAAAATATATATTTCTCCACAGGGCAAAATTTAAAATAAAGCCCCTTGATTTGTTATTACATAGCAAAACATCAAATGCTTCTAATGCTCCCCACTGTAAACAAAAAGAGTCTGAGAAAACGATGTCCCATTTCAGAGAGTGGGGAGCAAAATACTCTATCACAATAAGAGCTAGAGGAGAAGAGAGGAAATAAAAACAGGAAAGTAGAGAAGATAAATGGTGAATGGGAGAAGACCAGAAGAGAGGAGAGAAATAAGCAGAATAAAATATTCCCTCACTGGGTGTGGGCTCTCTCTTGCCAATGGATCTGTCACATCCTGTCATGCCCAGGGCAACATAGATATTGTTCTCGATGTATCAGCAATGACATCATATCCAGCTGTGTGCATTTGGTACACCGCAGCTGACATTTATATATGCTAGCTTCCAGAGACAGACAGACTTTGTACAGGCACAGGCCAATTATCTACATGTGTTAGACACAGAAATCCACTTATTACCCCTCACTGTCCCGTTATTTATCCTCACTCCACAAGTGGCAGGTGGAGGGATATCCCTTCAGTAGCTGTTTTGCTGGGCATTTTCTTGGTGACACTGGTCAGAGTAGAAATAACAGTTACCCATCCAACTTGGGATAA